CAATAGGGTACCGTACCAAAGGATGTGGTACCTACCAATCACAGACAGATTGAAAAGATTGTACCAATCTGAGGAGACTGCTGGAGGGATGAGATGGCACGCCGAGCATACTCAGACGGATGGAGAGATGACTCATCCATCAGATGCAAGAGCCTGGAAACATTTTAACAATGTACATCCACATTTCGCTAGCAATAGCTGGAATGTGTATCTTGGATTATGCACTGATGGTTTTAGTCCATTTGGAATGTCTGGGAGACAATATTCATTGTGGCCGGTCTTTCTTACACCGTATAACCTGCCACTGGAGATGTGCATGCGACGAGAGTTTCTATTCATGAGCATATTAATACCTGGTCTAAAACATCCAAAAAGATCTCTCGACGTTTTTCTACAACCACTGATAAAAGAGTTGAAAGATTTGTGGTCAACAGGGGTGGGGACATATGATTGTTCAACGAAAACAAACTTTACGATGCGAGCGATGCTTTTGTGGACCATAAGTGACTTTCCTGCATATGGTATGTTGTCTGGGTGGACTACACATGGAAGATTAGCTTGTCCATATTATAATGGAATGACAGATGTGTTTCAGTTGAAGCATGGTACGAAGACTAGTTGGTTCGATTGTCACCGTCGATTTCTTCTCATCCATCACCCATACCGAAGAAACAAGAAATTGTTCAGGCACAAAAGGGTTGTCAGAGACACTCCTCCTCCATATTTAACTGGAGAACAAATTAAAGCGCAAATCGATTACTACTGTGCTCTAGAAACAGCTCCTCGTGGTGGGAATTGGCATGTTCCCACTAATATGTCTGATTTTTATGGTGTTCAGCACAATTGGCACAAAAAGAGTATATTTTGGGAATTTCCATATTGGAAAGATCTTCTTTTGCGCCACAACCTCGATGTGATGCATATAGAGAAGAACTTTTTTGAGAACATCATGAACACTATATTGAACGTCCCAGGGAAGACGAAAGACAACGTAAAATCGAGGTTAGACTTACCCGATATCTGCTCAAGGAGTGAGCTACATATAAAAAGCAATAGGCAAGTTTCAGTTCCAATATTCAGACTGTCATCAGAAAAAAACTCTGCGTTGTTCAACTGGGTGGCTTCAGAAGTGAAGTTTCCTGATGGGTATATTTCAAATCTCTCAAGATGTGTTGAGAAAAGGGCAAAAGTTCTCCGGGATGAAGAGCCATGATTGTCATGTCTTCATGCAGCGACTACTTCTCTTTGCGTTTGCGGAGCTACTACCGGCAAAAGTACACGAAGCACTTTCAGGTAATTAATTAATATAATACGATGATATGATTATACATATATATATACTAATGTGGGTAATGTTTGTTTTTGTAAATATATAGGAATTGGAGCATTTTTTAGGGATCTGAGCACCCGCACTCTTAAAGTGGAAGTTGTCCAACAACTTCATGAAAACATCCCTGTCTTAATCTGCAACTTGGAGAAAATATTTCCGCCTACTTTTTTCGACGTCATGGAACACCTAGTTGTCCACCTCCCGTATGAGGCATTACTTCGTGAACCTGTGCATTATGGATGGATGTATCAGTATGAAAGGGCCATGAAAACTTTGAAAGGAAAAGCCAAAAACCTAGCAAGAGTTGAAGGTTCTATTGTTGCGGGAAGTTTGACGGAAGAAACATCACATTTCACATCGTACTACTTTGCA